AAAATATTCAGTAGGATTTTTAAACTAAAAACTATAAATGTTTGCAAAAACAAGTTCCAAGTAGAACAATCTTCTGGCAACTATTCAAACGGATTGACAAATAAATTTCCGAACGAAATTTGTATGCAAAATGTAAAGTATAAAAAAGCGTAAAAATGATGAGGAATCGTATAATAAGATTCAATGAAATTAATCCTAATCACATAAAATTGTGATAGAAGAAAGAAGGCACTATTTAAGAGCAAACATATACTAGATCCCTCCAAACTGAAAAATAAAATATTTAAAAATAACGGGAACGGGTAGTACTTTGAAAAGAATGCGCGTGCTAACTTGAAGTAACAAAAGACAGAAAAAGGCAGTGGATGGTTGAAAATAATCAATAAAGCAATCAAGTTTATACATGTATAACAAAGCTAGCAACTTGAGGACAAACAATGTTCGAAATACCTACCTTTTATATCTCTATGTAGATTCTTCTGGCCATGAAGATAATCCAGACCTTTGAGAATTTCTCGGAGAATTATACAAATATAGTTTTCACCAAGAGGACCAGGTCGCATCAAGTCAAGTGCGGAACCACCCCCAAGATATTCCATTATTATCCATAAACGTGTATTTTTTAGATATGATCCGTAATATTTAGTAACAAATGGGCTGTCGCATTGCGAAAGAACATTAATTTCCTGCTGAATGTCTTCGATCTCATCTTCTGCCTGCTCAAGATCAATCAGTTTGATTGCAACGACAACCTTCGTTCTTTTGTCGATTCCTTTGTGGACTTCACCAAATGAACCCTTGCCAATCCTTTCAAGGACATCGTAAATAGTCTCAGGATCAACATACTAAAAAAGAAAACACAAGACAAAGTAACTATCCAATCTACCTTAACGTTATGGAGTAATATAGGAATTCATAGTTAACTAACCGTTTTCACAGTCGCTAACCTCTGATCTGGCATATTTCAGAGGATAATATCGAGGAAAATAAGGTAGCATCAAGTGGGCATGTAGCCGCCTTGATCTCTAGCGTCAATGTGATTAGTTAAAACTATATAACAAAAAGTTATCCTTAGGTTTGTAAAGAATTAAATCATTAATTTAATTTTAATTCTTATGTTCTAGAATGAAAATTGAACTTTTTAACTGGTACGATTTTTATCAGTTTACTATGCATAATAACACAAAAGACTTCAGACGAATGATAACTTATTTAAAATTACTTTTTGTTGTCTATAAAACTTAAAAATACTATACCTGAATTATTTCTGATAATTAATTAATTGCTCATTACTATTATTTAAAGCATTATTATGTTTTTTCAGATAAAAGTTAATTGCAAAGACAGAATATGTAAATATATCGCAGATATGAAGACCAAAATGGTGTGGCCTTCTGTTTGGTCGCAGTCTTCTTTAGCCTTATAGTATTGGTTCTATCTTATTTTCGCAACTTGGTCGCAATTTCATGAAGAACTTGTGGAACGTTCTGTGTCCTGGCCATAGTACTTGCATGCATTACGTTGAGACAAACAAAATCCCAATGAAAATAGATTGTATGTGATGGAAAAAGCTGGGTATAAAAGGCCGCATTGTTATAAATGGAGGGAGGAAGTTTTTATTTATGAAACAGTATTCATCTTAAGTTTAATATGAATATGGCCTTGTAGGTTTTACATACATAGGTAAGCATACATACTTAAGACAACCCTGAAATTTAAAATTACATGATTATTTGACCTTGTTTTCGAAACTTCCCCTTATTGGCAAGAAGGCCTGAAGAACGCATCTAGTCCGTGTTCCATAGCGCGCATGGCAATTTCCATAGCTAGACTGTGGATTTGGTACATTTCAGAGGCTTCGCCGGCATCGTAGTCGGCATCGTCAGTCAGCCTTGACATTGTTAGCAAAACACTATAACTCGTCAAACAGACAAGTGAAGCTGATCCCTTTCCAAATTGTCTGTTAGACGGTTGTGGTATCTCTCCTTTTATCCTTTGGTATTCACCTTTTATATATCCTCGTATCATTCCTTCACTATCATTATTTCTTATTTAAATGTGACATGGTGTGCCCTTTTGAGCGGATTTCATAAGACTTATTCACACTCTCCTCTGATTACCTCATCCCCTCCTATGATGGAACTGTTTATCTGAGCCGACCTTATTGCTTCGCGATGCTTTTCCCATAGGTCTTATTAGACTCTCCCTCTTTCTCCGTAGGATCCGTATCCAATCTCACTGGCTGAGAGATTTCACTTGACCACTGTCACCCTATCTGTGCTATTCGAAGCGCTATTTCTCGCACTCTACCCCAAACCTTTGATGGCATTTAGACTTTGCTCTTTACGTCATGTACATCAAGTAAGTATCGTGGTGATGCCTTTACTGCATGGACCACGTCTATGAATTACCTCATCGGCTAATAGACAACTATCGAGGATCTCTTCAGCATATCTCTCTCTTTTATAAATGTTGCCAAGTATATGACTTTCTTATGCCCTAGAGGGCTAAACAGCAGTCTTGGATTAACAGTTCCAATACAGGGGTGAGATAAGGGAACCAACGAGGAGTGCGAATAGGTCTCACGAAATCGGATAAAAATGGGAGATTATAAACAAGGTTTTAAAAAGCAAATAATTACTTGTCATTGTGAAGAGCTGATACAAGGATATATGATAGGTAAATATACAAGGCCAGAAGGAAAGATACCACAACTATCTAGCAAACAATTGGTCAAAGGATTTAGTTGTCGCTCAAACCAGTTGTAGTGTGGTGCCTTATACTAATAAGACGCATTGACGATTCCAGCTACGATGCCTACTACGATGCAAAATATGATGATGGCGATAGATCTGGTAATGCACCAAGTCCACGGTCTGAATCTAAAAATTAGCATGCATACTGTGGACTCTGGGTATGGTGCGATCCTCTAGGTCGTACTGCCAGTATTAGAAGAATTATTTGGAAAAATAATATTTGTTTACGGAAATTTTTTTTACTGTGCTTCACCTCGCTAAATTTATTTCAAATCTATCATTGAAATCAATCAAGATTAATTTCACA